GAAAAGCATTTTTTGCAGTGTATGACTGGTTTTGTGGTCCAGGGTCATAAATAGCCGGCAGCTAGCTCTCTGAAACTCTCACATGGTTGCCCATTGAAGCTAAGTACCTGGATGGGAGACCACATGGCAAAGCTAGGTTGCTGCCAGAAGTGGTGTTAGTGAGACCAGGAGGGGGCGATTAGTCTGTGGTCTGTGTGGGTCCTTATGTCCCAGTATATTGCTGGGGACTCCATACTGCTCAGTGAGTGTTATCTTTCGGATGAGACGTTAAACCGAGATCCTGACTCTCTTTGGTCTTTAAAAGTCCCAGGATGTGCTTCAGAAAAGAGTCTGGGTTTAACTGTGCCGTTGCATCATCCAGATGAATACTGCACACTGGTGATGGATGAGGAGATTCCCATCAGAAATGCATAAAGCACTTTGAGTATAAAGAAAAGCACTATATAAATGCAAGGAATTATTATTATTATTAAATGGCCTTCAGATGGACTGATTTTATCTCATGACCTACATTATTTGAAGGGTTTACCCTCCTCAACGAATGCTTTGAAGAGATAAGGGGTATAAGCGACCAAAATATCTATTCCTTGTAACTTCTACACCATGAATTAAACATGCACCAAAATTCATGGAAGTAAAAAGTGTCCATTACATATATCATTCTGAAGGGCCTTTTAAATGTGGAGCAATTATATTTGGAATGACCCTTCAAATATGATACCCTTCAGATGCAGATTTACCCCATTTGAAATGCAGCAATGTTCTCATTCAAATTCAACAATAAGTGACGCCGCTACTGCCTCCCTTCCTACAGAGCGACCAATTGCACTGTGCTGCTACAGTTGAGCCAGCCTGTGAATAAATACATCCTCCACAGTCTGATAGAAAACAGGACTACAGACCCATCAATCCAGGTCCAGCTTCTGGGAGACATTGAAAGAGTGGGTGAGTATAGACAAACGCATACATTTGGACTTTATCACGTAATTTATATTCAGCTTTCAGGAACAGCTTACACAAAAATGAAATCCAATCATCAATTACCCATCCATATGTCTTTCTAAAAAAGAAGTGTGAGTGCATACTAGGTCTGTTAGACTACAAAATTAATCTTAAAGCACCATAAAAGTGATTGATATGAGCACATAACAATAATAGGCAGCAGTTTAAAAGATAGTCTCATTGACTGACTTTTGTTAATAGGAAAAGGCCTTTGTCCAGAGCCCAATACTTCAGCCCCTGGAGATGGTTTTTTGTACTGCACATCTCCAATGTCTTACAATGATGTCTGCAAGAGCCAAGAATATGTCAACGTCACATGGTAAGATATACTGTTCATTACAGACTTGACATAATTTTACAAGTGATTGTAATGTTAAGAAGTTTATGCGAGATCACACTATTAATTCCTCTTTCTTTTTCTTGCATTAGCTCCTATAATTACTTGATTGCTAATCAATCCAGTGAGTGTCATTTCTCTTTATATTTACTTTTGGCCATCATTAACAAAAATGATATCAAATTTTAAAAAATATATATATATATATATTTTGTAGACAATGACAAGCAAGTCACAAGCAATTGTACGTGTTATGGGGCTAACGATAATGGTAAGTGGAACTGATTGTATATAAATGTACATACATTGTTAATATACTGTATACAAGTGTGTGTTGTGCACTAATCAGAGGCTCTCTTTCTTCTACTTGTATTACTATTTTTAGAGACGTATTATGCTGTTCGTCTAAAGATTGAAAGCCCAGATGTGAATTTTACCTACGTTCAGAACATGGTGAGTCTCTGTAAAAATGATTTTAGTGAAAGGGTAAGCAAATAGTATCGCTATTTAATAAAATTGGCATGACAGTGGATTATTGCAATGAATGACAAAATATGAATATGGTTTTGTTACTATTATTTCTACATCCAACAGGTTGTACAGTTGAGCACTCCCTGTAGCGGATCTGGAATACCAAAGTATGTATACAATTCCTACTAAATCTGATTATACTTCATTTTATTAGATGATAAATAAATAAAAACTTTTAAAATAAAAATTTTTCATTCGAATAAATAAGGGTTTTATTGTGTCACTTGTGTTATCTTGAATCTTGTTTTAAATACCTCTGACAGGATTATTTGGTGTATATTGTATTGATACACATGTTTTTATTTGGTGTGTAAATGTAATTCATGATTAAAATTGTTTAAAGTAATTTAAAAATTAAAACAAACAAGACACATTCTAATAAATTAATATGTTACTGTGATAAAGAAACATTTGGGATCAGTAAGATTCAAAAAAAAAATGAAGGCTTATCAATAACGTTAAATTAAGTAAAAGTGACAGATTTCTGACAAGTTATTATATAAATTGTGTGTATGACAATTATTCTCTTTGTTCACAGGTCTATGTGTGATTCTTCTTCTGAATTGTACCAGCTGTACAAGGTAAACTTCCATTTGTTTCCAATTTCAGTTAAATAATCTTGTTGGATGAACATTTTTCTGTACATAAAGTTCTTGATGCTTTGCAGGGAATGCACTTGGAATGTTTTGGTGAAGGAACAAGGTAT